AATTGTTTATTTACCTTCATATTTTCTATGATTATACGTAACTGTTACAGAAAGCTGCTGGGCATATTTTCACTTTTACAACAGAAAAATGAGATGGGGCTGGTGATGAGTATACAGGGTGCTTCAACTGCACTTGTAGTGCTTTATTTCCCAAGTAGGTAACTGGATTATGAGCTTTTAAAATAATATTCTTATACATTTCTGAATATCTAAATCCACAGAGTCCTGGTGTGGCACTGCAGGATAATGCACTAGACCACAAAATCGATTTGCATCAAGGTCTGAAAACTACCAGCTGCTCCTCAGAAATCCTAAACAGAACTAACCCGACGGCACTTAACAACAACAACAAAACAATCCATAATTTCAGAAAAGGTTCTCAAATAGCCACTTCAGTAAAAAATCAATGTCTATCTATTAGCTTTCCACTATTACTTCTCCTTTTTGTGGAATAGTTACTATATATAAAGAAAAACAAGCTCTTTGTTGAGAAAAATACAGTGGTTATAAACAGTATGTAGAACATTTAGCTAAAGAATTATGATATAATCTAACATGTGAAGCTGTCTTGTAAATGGAAGAAATATGACTGACTCCTGTCATTTTTAGAGACAGATTTATATATCTATATGAAAGACTATTAATGGTGATCATTAAATTTTTCTTTAAGAAAAAAATTAAGTGCATAACACCCTAAACTGGTGAAAGTGATGTACGACCCTTTATAAATCACTGGGGTTTTCACATATAGTATTTAATATTAAATTCTCTATTTTGTAGCTGGATCTCAGAAAGGTTAAATGATTTTTCCTAGGTCTCACAGCTAGTAAATAATATTTTAAGTCTGACTGAGTGAGAGAGAGAAAGATGACAGACAAAGCCATATAGTATTGTTTCCTCATTTGGTCCAATGCTGCTAGTTTTTTTTTTAAATCAAAACAATAAGCTCTCACCTGGTGATTCTGCAAGGTGTTCTTGTTTTTCTTCTCTGTCCTGAAACTGAATTAAATGTGACCACAAAGCCGACTTCCCCTAAAACCAAAAGAGACACAAAATTTTTATTTTAAAAGAAATAATTGATCAAAAATAATTTCTCATCAAAATCATTCACTCTATACACCAATGTTCACTGTGGCACTATTGACAATATCCCCAAACTGGAAACAGCCTAAATATTCAACAGATGAATAGGTAAACAAAGTGTGGCTTATACATACAATATGACTCAGCCATAAAGAGAAACGAAGCGCTAATATGTCCTACAACATAGATGAACCTTGAAAACATTCCTGAGTGAAGTAAGTCAGCCACAAACTGAGAAACTCTATATAAGCTAACTAATAGAAGCTTCAAAGTTTATTAATGGTTATCAAGTGTGGGTGTAAGGCGAGGATGGGAGGAGGTGGACGGAGGACTCAATGCTTAAGGGACACTGACCTTCTGTTAAGGGCGATGGCAACACGTGGGAACACATAGGGTGATGGTTGAATAATGATGAGCATAACTAAAGTCCTAAACCACAATTTAAAACATTCAAGGGGCCATTTAGAAATCTGGTGACCTGAGCTCATCTACTGTGGCATTCAGAGCATCTCACCATGTGTTATGAGGGTCATCCTCTGTCTCACTGAGAAGAATGGTGACAGTCTAGGACAGGAGAGCAGTTCAGCCAATGTGCAGGCACAGCACTTCTTACTTTAGCTCAGTTGTACTCAGTTGTATGCAATTAGGGCTGTCCACACTAACAACATCATTAACCACAAGCACTAGTCCGGGTGTGTGGCACTGTGAGGTAATGCATTGGACTACAAGGTCAGTTTGAACCACAAGGTCAGTGGTTCAAACTCCCCAGCCGCTCCTCGAAAACTCTAAATAGAGTCGCTATGATTCGGAACCATCATAACGGGACTTTAACAACAACGGTCCTGCTGTGGCGCTGTAGGATAAAGCACTGGACCACAAGGTTGGTTTGAAACGTAAGGTCAGTGGTTCAAACTCACCAGCCACTCCTCAGAAACCCTACACTGGGTGGTTATGAGTCAGAAATGACTCACTGTCACTTGACAAGCAACAATGGACTGCAAGATTGGTTTGAATAGTAAGGTCGATAGTCCAAATTCACCTTGGAAACCCTATATGACTTTACGGCACTTAACAACAACAACAGCAACACAAAATGAGTTTGTGTATATCTTTTGCAAAAATGTTGGCATATATATGACAATAAGTGAAAAAAATAGGGAAATGAGAAAAGAGGAATAAAAGACTTGTACACAACAGAAAAAAAGTCAGAGAAATTAGAGGAACCATCTGCATTTTTACTCTGAAATAAAACAGAGGCACAACATCAAGGAAATGATTTGAATTTTTCTACTCTGAAATAAAATACGGTTGAATATGGTTGATGTTCAAGATAACAAAGTGGTAAATAGTTAATTCTGGCTAGTAGGTTTCCCCCTGGACAGTGGCAAGAGATATTTTGTGGAATCTATAGGGGATACAAGGAGCCCTGGTGACAAAGTGGGTTAAGCGTTGGGCTGCCAACTGTAAAGTCAGTGGTGAGAATGTACCAGCCCCTCCTTGGGAGAAAGACGAGGCAGTCTATTTCCATAAAGATTTACCATCTCAGAAACTCGATGAAGATCTACTCTGCCCTATCGGGTCACTATGAGTTGGATTCTACTCCACAGCAATGGGTTTCGTTTGTGGGTTTAGAGGGTAAACAGCTTTTAGCAATAAATGTGCTGTTGATTTTATTCTTTTCCCAACCACTTTCTGACCACAGATTGTGTTTTCTTTTTCTAGAATTAAATGTCTGTCCTGGTGTGGTGCTGCAGGATAATGCGCAAGGTCAATCTGAACCACAAGGACAGCAGTTCAAACCCACCAGTCACTCCTCAGGAGCAACTCGACACAGCACTTAACAACAATCATATTTCTAGTTATTCTCTAAGGAACACACCATTTAATTTCTATATCTCTTTTTTATGATATTTGTTTTTCCTTGGTACATTTCTAAGAGGGCTCCTCCTGGCCATGTCACCAGGGCCTCTCAAGACTGTTACCTGCTTGATCTGCAAGCCGTGGCTCCATAGCCTTTCCAGTAGGTCACAGAGGCTGGCGATCAAGGTATTCTCTTCCAAGCCGGTTATGTTTGCTTCTCCATGACCCAGTTCCACTGCTTCATGTCCCATCTTCTCCACTAACATGCGCTTTGTCTGAAAATATCACATGTGATCACAAGTGCTCACCAAGCAGTGAAACCCAAAACCAACACGCCAATTACTGGATTAGAAGACCCGGGATCTCGTCATTGTACTTCTAATTGCAGATTCTTAATCACTCTGGGAACAGTACCTTTACCTCTGTAGTCAACAAAGTGAATTAATATCACCTAGATGTGGCACTGTACTGTGTGAACCCCAAGGTCAGCAGTTCAAACCTCTTAGCTGTTCCTTGGAACCTGTGTGTAGGGTCATTATGAGTCAAAACTGACTTGACGGCACTTAACAACATATTTTTACTGGAGTCCTAGTGTGGTGCTGTAGGATAAGCACTGGACTGCTATCCACAAGGTTGGTGGTAGAAGCCCACCAGCTGCTCCTTGGAAACCCTAAACAACGTTGCTGTGAGTAGGAACTGACTTGATGGCACTTAACAAACAACATACTTTTATATTCTGTCAGACAAACAAAAGGTCACTAAAAGAGAATTAGATAATATTTACCAAGCACTTCCTCATGTAAAACAATATTCAGGTTACTAACTTGACTAGCGTTGGGGAATTATATCAGGCACATAAAATATACTGTCAGAATCTGGATCCTACCTCATCTTGCTCTCACAACTCTGGCTTTCCAGTTCCCTCAACAGCTTAAACTGCTAAAGAGGTTTCAGTTACACTTAGGCAAAAACCATAATAAAATGGCGAGTTCCTAATTTGGGGACAATTTTTAAATTTATGAGTAGGGCTCTTTTTTCTTCTTCCTTTCTAATAAGAATGTACCAGAAGACAAAAAGGAAATAGAAATCAGTTTGAAGTAAGTTACTTTGTATTAGTCTTAGTAGACCTTATAAAATGTCAAGCAAGAGATTATTCTAGTTTCTTTGGGCAGGGACCTTACCTGTCTGAGTTACCACTGCATCCTGATACTGAAATAGTTCATTTATTGACTGTGCAGAAAAGGTTTTCAAGTAATTACTGTCAGCTAAATGAGTAAAATTGGCTAAAATGATGTTTTGAGTTTTGTCAATTTGTATCACTACTTCTCTAAACACAAATACTCTGAGAGAAAATTGCTGTACAATCATCATAAATCTACAATATAGTTAAGGCTGTATGTATGCTGTTGAATGTATGGACTCAGATAGGGGATACATAGGTGCACTGTCATGGACTGAACTGTGTCCCTCCAAATATGTGTCAACGTGGCTAGGCCAAGATTCTCAGTATTGTGTGGTAGTCCTCCGTTTGGTGATCTGATGAAATTATCCTCCATTCTATGATATGTGTTCCAAATACTAATCTATATGTTAATGTGGTTGCATTAAGGTAGGTTGTATCTTGAACCACAACCTTATAGGACGGCATGACTCAAGTCCTATCCTTACTCAAGTCACACCTTTTACTTTTTATGCTTTTTTTTTGAGTCATACCTCTTATCTTTTAAGAGATACAAGGAGAGAGAAACAATCAGCGAGGAGGGAAAGAAGAACTGGGAATGAAGCATGTCATTTGGACCTGGGGTCCCTATGCTGAGAACCTCCTAGACCCACCGGGGAGATTGAAGCCAAGACACATGAGGATCTCCAAGGAACAACAGGATCACAGATGACGAAAGGAGGCCCTTCCCCAGAGCCGACATAGAGAGAAAGGCTTTCTCTAGAGCCAGTGCTCTGAGGCTCCACTTCTAGCATCCTAAACTGTGAGAAAGTAAATTTGTTCGTTAAAGCCATCCATCTGTGGTTACTTCTGTGGTAGCAGCATCAGGTAATTAAGACACAAAAGTGGACACACAAAAAATGTGTAGTTTCTCGAATAAGATGAAAACATTTTTGACACAGCCTCTGACTAGTTTAACAACTTCTCAAGTTGGAGAAGAGGAGAGTAATGGCTAAACAGCTGAGAAAAATTGTGTAGGGTTCCTGTGTCCAATGGAAAGTCTAGGGAAGCGCATAAGCACATGAGGTGTATGTCACAGTGAACATTTTCCTCCAGGGAATAAGCTACAGGCTCAAACAGGAGTCCACTCTGCTCATCTTACCCTTACAATGATGTCAATGTGAAGAAACCATGTCTCACATCAGTCATACATACCTTCATTCTACACTCTTTTAATAAGCCTTCGACAAATTTCCAGTTGGTCTGTGCAATCACTGCAGGAGAGAGGTCTGACAATTTGGGTTGTCTCAGGTTTTTTCCTAAACTTCGTGCTTCTTGCATATATTTCTAAAAATTAAAGAGTATTTTAATGTATAAACACCAGATACTCTTGTCAACTTAATCTTATACAAACAAGCACAAGAATTAAGAAGCAAAAAAGCCATCAGAGTATACATGCAACAATTAGAGGTTCAATGCATCAAAAGGCAGAGTACGTGCACACTCTCTCCTCGCAACCTATCAAGCCCTGTGAAAATGTGAACAATAACAATCTTACCATGTTAGAACTCATCCTTTAAATGTACACGCTATATTTACAGTCAACATTCAAATTGTTTCATCTGGTTTAGTCTTTCAATTGGGTATACCTCATATTGTGATTAGGTGGGACTATGGTTGGGACAAAAAATTTAAGTGTCTGGATTACAAGTAAAAGATTTTGCAGAAACCCAGTGGTTCTCAGATTACTGGTTTCTGCTTCTTTCCCACAGATCAAAGGCTCAACATTGTACCTCTAGCCTCCAACTCAACCCTTTACTCAATTTTTAACAGTAAAACCAGGAGCTCTGGAATCTGGTTACAACTAATTTTGTGGCCTTAAGCACATCAACTACACTTTCTGCACTGCAGCGTATCTGTAAACTGGGCACAAAATGTGCTCAGCTATCCAATTCATAAAAACGGCTATTTAAGATCACTCTGGAAAATGATGATGTACTTCAAATGCCTCTTCTTTTTGTGATGTTTGTCTCTCTTGCTTTTTATTACCAATATCAAGAGAAAGTGGTATCACAGTATTACTTTCACAGTCAGAGGCAGCTCTGAGTGGACTTTAGAAACACAGTCCAATGCTGTTGATCTCTGGGTTAGTACATACATTTCCAGGAAAACAATAAATCAGCATATATGATTAGTTCTGGGCATCGGCTCGCTGCTTTCTATGCTACCTGTGAAAGCTCATCTAAGGCTACAGGGTAGAATCTCCAAACGGTCCAAGTGTCTCAGGACCATAGTTAGAGATAGTTGCTGGTGCTGTCAAGTTAATTCCAACTCATAGTGACCCCATGTGACAAAGCAGAATTGGCCCGTAAGGATTCCTAGGCTGTAATCTTTATGGGAAGGAACTCTGGTAATGTAGTGGTTATGAGTCGGTCAGCAGTTCGAAACTACCAGCTGTTCTACAGGAGAAAGATGAGGCTTTCTGCTCCCATAAAGATTCACAGCCTCAGAAACCGTATACAGGGTTGCAGTGAGTCGGAACCAATTCCACGGCACATAACCACCACCACCACCACTCTTTATAGGAACAGATCACCAAGTTTTTCACCTGTGGAACTGCTGGGTATGTCTGAACAATCAACCTTTTGGTTAGCAGCTAAGTGTTTAATCATTTGCACCACTAGGGCTCTTTATATCAGTGACAAACTGCTTTAAATTATATAGTAAAACTAGCAGTTTGATGGAAGAGACTGAGAGAGAGAGAGATTGCAAATGAGCACACCCTCCCACCAGCATATACAAAGGTGCTTCAAAAAGTTCATGGAAAATCTCATTAAAAGTAAATGGATTTTTCCGCAAGCTTTTTGAAGAGGAGTACTTGGTACTATAAAAATAAATAAAATTCTTTGCATTCTTTAAATAAAAGGTAATTTGTACACCTAATATATTTAGTTTTTGGGAAAAAACCTGCTAAATCTAGTACAAAAAATCACAAAAAAATCCCATTGATTAGGGATTTGACTGATCAGTTTTACCTGCTACTTCTTAGCCCTCCTGATGAAACTCAATGTTAACAAAATGTTTCTTTCCTCTCCAGTTCAATAACTTCTCTGAACAGACTTATAATCATATGGACTTTGTAAGCAAAAAAAAGTACCAAAGCACCTTTTTCTGACTCAAACCATTTTTAAAGGGTCAAGAAAAGAAGTGAAAATTGAGAATTCAAGACAGCTATCGCCACTAGGGAAATTAAATGTAACCAAGTCTACTAGAACATTGTAAATGTTATTTTTTAAGCAAATAAAAGTAGGAAATGAAAACAGTACCGGAAAAAAAATCAATGTGCCCTATAGGGCAGAGACTCTATAGGAGAACTATTAAATTGTCATTTTCTACAGTTTCGGATTGTACTAATGTTATTTGGAAAACTGAAAGTACTTATCATAGCTAAAACGTTGGTAAAAAACAAATGTTAATAACTAAATGTTAAAAAGGTTCTGTGCCTTTCCAGTCTCAACTCCTCTATCATTTGAATCTGTGCAGAGAGAAAATATGCAGGGAGAACCACTGTAAGACTCAAATCTTAAGTGCTAAGTATCCATCTTGGCTTAAATACTGCTTAGAAGAAAAACACTGAGGAACATGGTCAGGCAAGAGGTTGGGAAGAAACCTCTAGCAGTTATCTTTTTTCCCCCCCTGAAATATATGAATTATTAGATTTTAAATGTCAACAACCAGCTTAAAAATTAAGCCCTGTTTAACATTTACATTCTAGTTTTATAAATGAAAACAAGGAAGACTGGGGTTGTCCCTTTGTTACTGTTAAGTGCTGTTCCTTCCATTTTGACTCATAGTAACCTGGATGGTAGCGTAGTGGTTACGAATCGGGCTGCAAACCTTAAGGTCAGTGGCTACCAGCTGCTCTGCGGGAGAAAGATGAGGCTTTCTACTCCCGTAAAGATTTATACTCTCGGAAACCCTATACAGGGTCGCTATGGGTCGGAACCGACTCGATGGCACATAACAACAACAACAACAACCTGGATGGGGTCTCTGAGGAGCACCCTGGTAAGTCTGAACAGGCAATCTTACAAACTACCTTATCGTACAACACCATACCAGGACTCCTTTTAGTGACCGTATTTATTAAGCACCAGTAGACACAGGTGCAAAGCCCTGTGCAAAGTCTCCTCCTAAGCATGCCTACTGAGGCCAAAGAACCAGCAGTACTCCACAGGCATGCAGGCGATTCCACACACCAATAGTTGAGGCTGTCCCTGCATGCTGTAAAAGCACAGCAATGCCTTTAAAGCAAACAATGGGTGATAAAAAAAAACAAACGTGATTTGCTTTGGGCCAAAGATGAAAAATGGAGATGAGCAACTTTTCACAAAGCATATTTTTAGAGTAACATCTACTTCTCTACAGAGGGCAGTTAACTTCAGACCCTTCTGAGGTTTCTACTATGCTCTTCTGTCTAAGGCAAATGTAATAAACCACTAGAACCTACCTATGAAAATTTATTCAATATATACTGTTCTCCAATATGAGGCTCTCCATGAATTTTTTAACAAACACCTTGTTTCTCTTAACTCGGCCTGACCTCTGAAGAAAAGACCATTGCTAAGTTAAATAATTTAAGGTAATATGTCTTAATGAAAAAAAGTACAAGCAACAGTCCTGAGATTTCATTGGCCTCAGATAAATAGCTGTTTGAAGCAAGCTGGCAATGCAGGGCTAGTGGGAATTGTGCGGGTGTGGAACTCAGGAGTCCTGGCTCTGGGTCTAGTTCTGTGTGTGTTTAAATCCAGCCAAGTCTCTTGGACTTTAGTTACATTATGTCAAGTTGGACAAGATGACCACTATGGTTTCTCTGAGCACTAGGATTCTATAGTTGATGACTAGACTTTCTGATCACACAAAACACAACCCAGTAAAAGTTATTAGAAGACAATTTCCTTCATCAAAATGTCTTCTTTACAACTTTTATTAGCACACACATAGGAACCAAACACAAAAGAAAGTAGAGGTATGGAGAGGCATAGAATTTACGTCATAAGGTGTTGCGTGGCATCTTAGAACCATGTGCACTCACACGTGTGTAAAATTCAAGTAACACCAAAGACAAGGTTCGGGAACATCTGGCAAGATACTTTCAGACACGAACATACCAGGCAGCACTCAGAGAAGGATTTTTTAGGAAGTCGTGTAGGAGGAGGTAGACCCTGATCCCACTCCCAGAATGCCATGGAGTTCTGACAGACCAAAAGTTCCCCGGAAGGCTAAGAGGATGGAGACGTGCCAATGATAAAAAAGCACAAAAGTAAAGAACAAGGAGAAAGAAACAAGCAAAACAAGCATGCATATGACAAAGCTATACAACAGGAAGGGAGGAGAAGAAAATACAGCAGCACAAAGGAAAGCAGTAAACAAGCTATGCTTCAATTCTTAAAAAGATGCTTAAAATCATATGAATGTATGAACAAATTAACAAAAACCAATAGATGTTTGGAATGATGTTTTCTTCTTTATATTTACACACATGAGTTTAGAAAACAGTAACAAAATCTTTTGATTTTTTTCTTCTGACCACAAATAATCAAAACTTAGTTATAGATATTCAAATGTGCACTTAATGGTTTTATTTTCAAACAATACAGATAAAGCATAAGGATCTTAGATTAAAAACATACTAGTTTTAAAACAATTTAAAAAGTGGTATCAGAAAGTCAAAGACAGTGTACAGGTAAGTATATCTTTGCAATAATCATAGATACTCTAAGTTTGAAGCACAATGTAAACATAACAAATTTACTTAAATAGGTTAAATAAATTTACCTAAGTAGGTAAACTATATATTGACTAAAAATTTATCTGAAACTTGGAGGTGTGGTACACATTATTTATTTTAGAGTCTTGTTTCAGATGTATTGAAATTACTGCCCCGCCCCCGCCCCCCAAAAAAAAGAGTATGAAGAAATTGACAAAATGACAGACCACTGCTGAGCTGAGTAAGTCTAGTAAATGTTCTTGGCATCCAGGAAACTAAACCAGGAAGGCAGCTCACATACCTCTCTCAGGTCGTTGTCTATTCCAATGTGCTCAGAATGCTGGCGAAGGCGTTCTTTCCTGCGCTGTGTGGTGGCACCCCGACTTATCCAGCGGCTGAAAAACCAACCAAACCCAAGAAAGTGCCGGTTAAAACAAACAAACAAACAAACAAACAAGTAAATAGACAGAACAGTACCTACTTTTCAACTAATTTTTTTGTTTTGTTCTTTTTATATGTAACAGCTTCATTAAGGTATAATTCACATACAATCTATCCATTTGAAATATCCAATTCAGTAGCTTTTATTATATTCAAAGAGTTGTGCAACCAGTACCACATCAAGCCATTTTTCAATTTGGGGCTAAAAAATTCACAGTATAATAAATACACTTTTATCAGATTTTAATTGAGTTAGCCCTTGAATGCAAGAGACATATAATAAATATGCTCTGACTTCTTCAAACTAAATATTATGAGTAAAAGTTTTTTCAACAGGAAGAAAATAAGTCTCAAAATTCATATATAGTGAACACTAGAATTTTATGCTTATAGATTTTGAGGATCTCATCTCCTTTATGTCAAAAAATGAGTCCTGGTTGTACAAAGTCAACAAACAAAAAAAGTTGGGTTTCTATACAGCAGCAATGAGAAATCTTAAAGAGAAATTAAGGAAACAATTCCATTTACAGTACTATTTAAGAGAATAAAATATGTGGGAATAAATCTGACAAGAAATTTAAAGGACTTAAATGATGAAGTCCTGGTGTATCACTGTGGGTTAACACACCAGACTGGAAAGCTGTTTGAACTGCAAGGCTGGTGGTTCAAGCTCACCAGCTGCTTCTTGGAAACCCTATACAGGGTCGCTATGGGTCAGAATCAACTCGATAGCACTTAACAACAATGATACAATGCAAAGTATAAAGTACTGCTGGGAAAGATTCAAGAAGACTTAAATAAATGAAAAGATATTTCATGTTCATGAATTGAAATACTTAATATTGTTAAGATGTCAATATCTAAAATAATCTATAGAATCAATACAATCCGAATCAAAATTCCAACAGTCTTCTTTACAGAAACAGAGAAACCAATCCTCTACTTTTTATGGAAGGGCAACAGGTCCTGAATAGCTAAAACAGTACTGAAAGAGAACAAAGTAGAAGGGCTCATGCTTCTTCAATTTAAAACGTGTGGTGCTGTGTGCTGGACTGCAAAGTTGGTTTGAACCTCAAGGTCGACAGTTCAAGTTCCCTAGCTGCTCCATGAAAACTCTATACAGGGTCATTATGGGTTGGAACTGACTCGACGGCACTTAACAACAACATACAGCTATACAGAAGTAATGGTGCGATGCTATAGGATAAGCACTGACTATTAACTGCAAGGTTGGTGGTTCAAACCCAGCCAATCCTTGGAAACCCTATACAGGGGTCGCTATGAGTTGGAACTAACTTGAAGACACTAAACAAAAACAACATACATCTAAAAGTAATCAAAACAGCTTGGTACTGGTATAACAACAGACACACAGAACAACTGGAATAGAACTGAGAGTCCAGAAATAAACCCACACATCTATGATCGATACTGATGTTTGACAAGGGTGCTAAATGCATTTGATAGGGATAGAAAAGTCTCTTCAATAAACTGTGAGGGGAAAATCGAATTTCATATACAAAGAAAAACAGGAGCAATGCCTCATACCATACACAAAAACAAGTTTAAAATGGATTAAGAATGCAAATGTGCAAAGTAAAACCATGGCATTTTTAGTAGAACAATCAGCAACACTGTCAGGCCTAGCTCTCAACAATGATTATCTAATATAATAACAAAAGCACAAGTAGCTGAAGACAAAATCAACTATTTAAAAATTAAAAAAACTTTTGTGCAGCAAAAGACTACAAAAAAAGTGAAAAGACAAGCTACCAACTGGAAAAATGTCTTCAGAAACCCCTAACCAGAAAACACACACACACACACACACACACACACACAAAGCCCACATGAAAACTGCAAAGAAAAAAACCTCATTGTCATAACTGTGCACTTGGAAAAATGTATACACAGAAAAATATACACATAAAAATGCTCATATTCAGGATATTATAAAGTAATAAACTCTAACCTGAACCCAAACTATAGCCCAAATCTTAACCCTATCTTACTTTTTATCTGAGCATTTTTCTATGTTTGTATTTTTCCATGTGGGCATTTTTATATGCAAAAAGTTTTCCACATGTGCATTTTTCTTGTGCATATTTAAGACAGGGTTTCTATCTATATGCAACTTTCATGTGAACTTTTTTCATATGCATTTTTTTACAGAACCTCAGAAACCATATATCTGACAATAATCTAATAACCAAAATTACATAAAACTTCAACAACAAAAAGACAAACAACCAAATCATAACATGGGCAATGGATTTAATCGTAACTTAATCAAAGAAGACATTCAAATGACCATGAAACACAAAAAAATCATTAGCCATCAGAGACTGAAAAAAAAAACCCCACAATGAGATGCCATTTCACTTGCACCACGATGGCTAAGGTAAAATTATAAAACAAACAAAAACACTAAGAAAATAACAAAGGCTGACAAGAATGTGGGTAAAACTGGAACACTTAAATGTCCTGTTGGTGAGAATGTAAAATGGTATAGCTGTTGTAGAAAACAGTGTGGTAGTTTCATAAAAACAAAACTAGAACTCCCATATGACACAGAACACCACTACTAGTTATATATCCAAAAGATTTCTGAGCAGACACAGAAAGAGACTTGTACACCAATATTCACTGCAGTACTATTTACAACAGTGAAAAATGTACCCACAACCCAAATGCCCATCCACAGATAAATAAATAAACAAAACGTGGTACATACTTTGGGGAAACAGGTTTTGGGAGGGCAAATATGGCTACAATGTTGCTTTCCTCTACCTCAGGGAAAGGGAGGGGGAAAACAGGGTTAATAGTGATAAAAAAAAATTGTACTGATTAAGGACAGGATTGTACAACCCATTATAATTGCTGTCAAAAAGTTTTATATCTGTATAAAGTTGAACTGAATCAACCAATGTGTAACAGGGATTTATGAAAAAGAAAAAAAAAGTAGCTGCTGAACTTGCTTACGTACAAGCAAACCCCTCATGGGATTTGGATCCTTGGTTTGGAAGTTTGGGTCATAGTTTTACTGGATATCCCAGTTAATTAGCTTACCCACGTATACAGTGTTTCTGTTCTACCTCCTAATTTGTTGGGTAATACCTAGGATCTTAAAAAGTGGCATTCAAGCACAACAATTAGTTTCTATTCACTTGAAGCAACAGATAAAGGAAGAGTCGGAAACAGAAGGAAGATGAGAGATAAGTGGCTAATTGTCTACATGAAGAACTGCCTCCTTTGCTGTGAGACCAGAAGAACTGGATGGGGTCTGGGTTATCATTCATTATTTAACATTTAATCAAAAATTCCATAAAGGAATCCTGATCAAAAGGTGGGAAATGTAGAGCAGAATTTCAAGTCTTCATGGAATCTAGAATTTTTAGAGCCATGTGCCTTAACACCTGATATTATTGTCCTGAGATAATCTTTAAACCTTAAACATCCCCCTGAAGTCATCTTAAAATGGAACAATAGTTTATTTAGCTTAACTAGTAAAAGAAGGTCTGCTTTGAGTGTTATGTTCTTTTAAGAACTATGCAGATGGGATCAGTTTGATGACAACAACTTGAAAGATTAGAGAGGAACCTTCAGTGGCATTGAGTCAGTGTTAAAGTGGAAGGAGGGTGAAAACAGTTGCACAAGCCAAAGGATGCAATCAATGTCATTAAATGGTATACACAGAAATGGTTCAATTGGTGTTACGTTTTGCTGTATATATTTTCAACAGCAACAAAATCAGGGGGAAAAACAAGGTGTTCTGATGGTGCAATTGTTAAGCTCTTAGTTGCTAACTGAGAGATTAGCCACAAGGCAGAAGAAAAGACCTGGCAATTTGCTCCATAAAGATTTCAGCCTAGGAAACCCAATGGACAGTTCTCCTCTGTTCTACAGGGTCGCTTAGATGGCACACAACAACAGAGTTCTAAAATAACAAATGAAACTTACAAGGTTTTCAACTATTTAAAGCAGTGACTTTCTAAACCTAAGATTCAAACGATTAAGAACCTTTGCTTGTAAACTAAAAAAGCTGGATGACATGCAGACCATTATGATTTCTTTTGGCTCTAAAATTGTTATCATTTTCCTGTGGGATATTGACCTGTATTTATCAGGTGTTTTGTAAAAATCCTCATTTTATAAATCTACACTAAGGATGTAGGGGAAAAGTAGAATTTAAAGTAAAATCTAGACTCTTTTCAATGGCCTATAAAATGTTCACTAGCCAGGCCTTTGGCTCCTCTCTCAGACCCTATCTCATACAACTTTTCTTTTAACTGACCAGGTTCTGTTGAGTGCCATTCTATTATTAAATAATGTAACAAAATCAGTATTAGTTTTACAAGTTTTCTCTGCTACTGAATTCTTTGGCTCCTAGTTCAATTACCCTGAGACTCTGTTACTTTTGCTTTTAAGTAATAACGGTCTAACAATTACTTATGGTAGGGACCCTGCTGTTGTTGGGTACTGTTGAGTCTATGTTCAATTCTGGCCCACAGAGACCGCATGTGTCAGAGTCAAACTGCCCTACAGGGTTTCTTGGCTGTATATTTTACTGAAGCAGATTGTGAGGTCTCCCTCTCACAATATGAGTGGCTGGGTTTAAAACGCCAACCTTCTGGTTTTCAGATCAGCACTTAACCATTGCACCACCAAGGCTCTTTGTAAGATAACTTAGACCTAAAAACCTGTCCTAAGTGCTTAGGGACTTTAAGAAATGCAATGATGTTTCCATTGTATTCCAAAAGTCTTCTATAGTCAGTCTAGTTACAAGCTCCAGATTAATTACCATCCTTAACCCTTTTCTTACTTCTGCCATAAACACTGTGGTAAACACTATAATTGGAGAGTACATGAATAGCTCATTTAGATTCAGAATGATCATGGACTACTTTCTAAAAGACGTAGCATCTGAGATATCTGAAAGATGAAGGAGAAAACT